CGTGTACGTACATCTATTTCAGATCATTAATATCATTAACTTTGTTTGGAATTTTAAAAGAAATAAAAACACTGAAGCAAGACGGACATATTTGCACATGAAAGAGTGTCATGCAGTGTGTTCTGTAAGAGGGATTACACGTGTGAGTATTACGTGTTTCCCTTAAAATTCAATCTCTCTCTCTCTCTCTCTCTCTCTCTCTCTCTCTCTCTCTCTCTCTCTCTCTCTCTCTCTCTCTCTCTCTCTCTCTCTCTCAAAAAAAAAAAAAAAAAAAAATCCTTTGCCTTCAGGAATTATAAATTAGAAAGGGGATGCACAGTGTCATGAATCGGAGTTTGGAATCTGTCGTACCCTATGAAGGCATGAAACGAATGGTTCGAAGTGGAATTCGAAACATATTTGATGAGTTTGTTTGAGTTCTGACCGCGACTGTACATAGATCAGTAGCAACTCGTGGAGGTGTCATGGCTTCTGTTTTGATGATTGTTCAATGAAAATATAACTATTGTAATCATTATTTTCCATCCTTTTTGAAAATTGAAAAGACCAAAATGATCCTCCATATTCACAAAGCACCCGTACCTTTTGTGACGTCATCAAAATAAACCCCATGGACTTAAAAAAAAAAAAAAAATAGAATCAGACCCCGTAACACCTCCCCGAGTTGCTCCTGCTCTCCCCTTCCCCAGTTCTGACCGCGACTGTACCTCACGCCCACGCAGCCACTGTACCTTCGCCCGTACCTCAGCCCTACCCGGCCCCAAATGTACATCACCGGCCCCGATCCTGACCTATGACCCCGACACGATAAGCCAGGTGTCGTTTGTTCGCCCCGACAAACAGGTCGATGGAGGGAAATGCGTACGTGTGACCTACGGCGAGGGAAGGGAAGAGGGAGGGACTAGAAGAAGGATGAGAGGAAGGGAAAAGGGAGGAAAGAAAGAGCGGACAAGGAAGGGAGGAGGAGAGGAGGAGGGAGGGGAATGAGAGAAGGGACAGGAGGAGGGAGAGGGAGGGGACTAGAAAGGATGAGGAGGAAGGTAAAGGGAGGGAAAGAAGAGGGGACAAGGAAGGGAGGGGAAAGGAGGAGGAGGGAATGAGAGAAGGGACAGGGAGGGAGGGAAGAGGGAGGGATGAAAGAAAAGGATGAGGAGGAAGGGAAAAGGGGAGAGAAAGAAGGACAGAGGAGGGAGAAGGAGGAGGGAGGAAAGGAGAGGGAAAGGGAGAGAGGGAGAAAGGAAAAGGAAGGAGGGAGGGAAGGAGAGAAGGGACAGGGGGAGGAGAAAGGGAAAGGAAAGGAGGAAGGGAAGAGAGAGGACAGGAGGGAAAGGAAAAGAAGGAGGGGAGGGAAGAAGGAGGAAGGGACAGGGAGGGAGGGAGAAAGGGAAAGGAAAGGAGGAGGAAAGGAGGAGGGAAGGGGAAGGAGAGAAGGGACAGGGAGGGGAGGAGAGAAGGGACAGGGAGGGAGGGAGAAGGAAAAGGAGGGAGGGAGAAAGGGGAGAGAAGGGACAGGGAGGGAGGGAGAAAGGAAAAGGAAAGGGAGGGAGGGAGAGAAGGGACGGAGGGAGGGAGAAAGGAAAGGAGGGAGGGAGGAAAGGAGGAGGGAGGGAAATGAGAGAAGGGACAGGGAGGGAAGGAGGGAATAAGAGAAGGGACAAGGAGGAGGAGAAAGGGAAAAGGAGGGAAGGATAGAGGGAGGTGACGAGAGGAAAACAAAAGAGAGGGAAAGAAAGACAGGGCAGGCAGGAGAGAAAGAGAGAAGGGGCAGTTAGGAAGGAATCAGGAGGAATAAGAGAGAGGGATAAGGAAGAGGGAGGGGGGGGCGAGAGAGGGAGGGAAAAGAGAGGGGCAGGGAAGAATAAATGAAGGAAAGAGAGAAGGTAGACAGGAAGGAAAGAAGAAGAAAAAAAGGAAGAAGGGAAGAAAGAGGATAGGGAAGGATGAATTGAAAGACGAAAGAAAGGATAGAGGAAGGGGGGAGGAGGGAGAAAGGAAGGGAGGATATGAATCGATAGATAAATAGATAAAGAGGGGAAAAGTGCAAAAAGAGAAAAAGAGAGCGACATGAATCGATAGATAGATAGATAGATAAAGAGAGAAAACATATAAAAGAGTAAAAGAGAGCGAGACATGAATGGATAGATAGATAGATAGTTCATCGGAAAGCTATTTTCAAAAATCATTTTTTTTTTTACATAATGTTTTTTGTACCCATTCCTATACGCCGTTTAATATATATATATATATATATATATATATATATATATATATATATATATATATATTATATATATATATATATATATATGTATATATATATATATATATATAATATATATATATATTATATATATATATATCATACAAAATTAATTTATTATACGTCTAAATATCAACAATTGAACTGATCAATGCAAACATGAAAGAGAGAAAGAAGGAAAATATAAAGAAAGAAGAAAACGGAGGAGGAGGAAGGAGAAGAAGAAGAAGAAAATGAGACGAAAGAAGAAAAAAGAAGAAAAATGATGAAGAAGAAGAAGAAAAGGAAGAAGGAAAAGAAGAAAGGACAGGAAAAAGAAGAAGAAAAAAAAGAAGTAGACAAAGAAGCAAATAAAAAAACGAACGTAGAGCCAAAGAGC